TGAATGAATCTTTTCTTTTCCTTCTCAAACTCTACTCTTTCCACATCCAAATTCTTTTCTGCTGTCAAAAATTTCTCCTTCTCTAAGTCCAGTAATTTCTTTAACTCATTCAGATCATTCTCAGACTTGTGGAACTTCCCAGTGAAATTATTTATCTCTGAATTATTCCTTGGAGAGTTTTTCTCAATTAAAAATGCACTTTAACCTCTTTGAGTTTATTGAAAATATATTTATTCGCTTTACTCCAAGTCTTCAAATTATCATTAAAATCGTTTTCTACAAAGCGGAGAGTGTTCTCGAGTGTTTCAATCCTACACTCAAATTCCTTCTCGATTCTTTCACACTCTTCTTTATGATTTTTCTTTAAAACTTTGATAAACACTTTCTCCTTATAACCTTCAATGCTCTTTTCCAGTTGAACAATATTCTCTCTGAACTTTTCATATACAACTGCCATTTTAAAAAAAATAGATCAGATGAGGATCTATGCAGAGAAATCAGATAAAAGAAACAAGAACAGTTTAAGCTCAAAAAGAATAGAAAAACACTAAAATTGATGAGAATATAGTAGAACGACGAGAAACTGTCAAAAATCAGTAAAAACAGTCAAAACAGTTGAAAACAGTTAAAAACTATTAAAAACAGTCAAAGACAGTTAAAACTGACAAGAAACAGTTTACGCGATCCAAAACAGATCAAAGATTTCTCAAACAGTTAAAACACACACAAAACAGATATACGATGATCCAAAAATAAAATCTAAAAAAAATAAAACTCAAACAATTATAAACCTAAAAATAAAATTGTCCAAGTCCAAAACAAACTAATTCAAACCCAATTACAATACAATCTACGCTTTAAATAATGAACAATTTTCAGGTCCAGGCTAGCTTGAGATGTCCTTGATACTGTATAATTCTACAAGTAATTCCTCTACTCTTCTTAAACAGGAGGTCTGTTAACACCACTTGGATTGTTGTTCCCGTGCACAACTGACAGCAACACCTTTTTGCACCAAGCTGTCCACTGTTGTTACTGCTGCTGCTGTTACAATCAAAATGAAACTGCTTTTCACTCTCTATGCTTAAACCTTTTGCATCTTGGATTGGTGCTGCTCAAATCAACTTCAAGTCTGGCTTTCGGAGTCGTTGAAATGCTGCTACTAACCTGCTGTCAGTTTGTTGCTGTCAAGACAGACTTGAACCCAAATTAGTTTGAGTAAAACTTAACAGCAATGAACCAAAATACAGTAAACTAATGCACTCAAAACAGCTTCTCAAATCACTCAGAATTGTACCTCACTGAACAAATTGTTAAAGCAACTTCAAAATAAAAACAGCAACACCTTCAAAACTGTACTCAAAACAGCTCTTAAACAGCTCCTCCAATAACAAACACAGAACCTGTCTTTTTCCAAACACAACAGCAAGCAACAGCTTCTTCAGAACCAGCAACTGAAGCAATTTCAACAGCACCAAATGTTGGGTTACGGGATCTCAAGCACAACGGAAAATAAAACCGTAACCCTCCAAGGACCCATACGAACCGGAATAAATCGGGTGTGTCGAAATTATACCTCACAGTTCGCAAAACTCTGATCACATCAACAAACAAAGCTTGATGCCTCCACGGTATCCACGCAAACAATCCAAATCCTTTGCCTTCTCGTGATGCTAGT